ATCTAGACTTGAATCCTGGTCTTTGATTCCCAAACTGTCTATTTTCTATGTGTAGATTTGGTCAAGCTGCTGATTTTGTCTGGTGTACCCCCCACCCCCCCGATATAGTTCGGCTGTGTCCCCACCCAAATCTCATCTTGAATTGTAGCTCCCATAATTCCCACGTGTTGTGGGAGGGATCTGGTGGGAGTTAATTGAATCATGGGGGTGGTTTCTCCCATACTGTTCTCATGATGGTGAATAAGTCTCATGAGTTTTGATATTATCAGAGGAAATCCCTTTCACTTGGTTCTCATTCTCTCTCTTTACCAGCTGCCATGTATGATGTCCCTTTGGCCTTCCTTCACCTTCCACCATGACTGTGAGGCCTCCCTAGCAACGTGGAACTGTGAGTCAATTAAACCCCTTTCCTTTATAAATTACCCAGTCTCAGGTATGTCTGCATAAGCAGCGTGAAAGTGGAGTCATACACCTCCCTACTCTTGTCTGCCCATCTTATCTTGCCTGACCTTCATTTAGAAGAGTTACGGTAGCTACCATTTAAGGAGAGTTTCCCACGTGCTTTCAGTGTCCTAAATGCCCTACAGAAGTCATCTCATTCAGTTCTCACAACATATGTACAGGCAGAGATTACTGTCCCCATTTAGCAGATGGGGAAACTGAGGTGGGGGAGGTGAAATAAATAACTTGCTTGAAGTCACTTGGTTAGTAAAAGGCAGAGACGCATGTTAGACCTGGTTTGTGGGCCACAGAAGCAGCCCCTTCTCACCAGAGATTGGGAGGAGCTTCTCTGATCGTTTGGGTCCACATTCTTTTTTTTTTCCTGGAATCTCTGGTACACCAAGTTACGTGTGAACCTGGGGAATTCATCTCTTGCTGGGCCCTGGCTGAGGGGTTCAGTGACTCCTGAGCTGCATTCCAGCTCTTTCTCTGGCTTTATCTGGATCATCCATACTTCCCCAAGTTTCCAGGCATTTATCTCTTATATTCATAAGGAGTAAAAACACAGCTGGTGAACACTAGCAAACATTATTGGGCTATAATGTGAGCCAGGCTGTGCTAGCCAGTTGTCATGCGTTATTTCATTTAATCCTCACAAAATCTCCACGTATGAGAACCTTATCACCTCCAATTTAGAGTTAAGGAAACCGAGGCTTAGAGATGTTAAGTAATGTGTCCAAGTCACACAGTTATTAATAGAAGAAGAGCTTGTACCTGATGCCAAAGATAGAATGTTAAGTACTAAGTTACTTGGCCTCCAATGGGTGGAAGTGCTCTGGGACTTGGGATTGTCACTCAGGCTTAGTGGGTGGCTAAATAAATGAGTTCCTGTGGAAGGAAGTCCCCTTGCATTCTTGTAGTGAGTGTTTTGCTTCATGCCAGTTGTGGAGAAACAGGCGCAGGTGGCTTGGTGTATCTGTCAGCTGTAAGTCTTCGGTTCTGTCTTCTAGGTAGGAGCTACCCCAGACACGGCATTAACCCTCCCCTGCAGGTTCTGATTGGGAAACAGTCTTTGGCTCTTCACAGCTGTTCACGCTGTCTCCTTCCCACCTTCAGGGCTCCCTGCCTTGAGCTGTCTCTCAGCGTTGTCCACAGCTCAATTCTGACTTTTCCAGCCTTCTCTCATCTCCTCCACAGCATGTACCTGTCATTGAAGGGGCTCTTTGATGCCTCCTGAACATGCCCCACAGTTTCACACATTTGGGTCTTTGTCCAAGTGGTTTGTCTCCATCCAGAATGGCCATTGTTTTGGCTGTAATTCTATTAGTGGAAAGCCCCTCCTAAATTGCTGTCTCCTCCATACTGGCCTCCTGGATTTTCCTATATAAATTTGCTCTCTTCCTCCTCCTGAATTCTTGTAACATTAAAACGTGGACCTGACTGTGCTTTAAATGATACCTTTTGTGCGTGTAGCAGTTCCTCCATAGCCTGTGAGTAGTAAGAAGAGTTAGAAATCTAACCCAGCCTTGCCGCCACTTAATAACTGTGACTTAGGGCATTGACTTAACCTCTCTGAACTTCATCTTTAAGGCGGAGATAATACTAGCTATTTCCCTAGTTGTTGTAAGGATTACGTAAGTTAATGCATGTAAAACACCTAGTATCCACCAGACACACAATAGGCACTCAAGAATCTTATTTATATTCCCACATTTCTTATTACCTCTTCTCCAAAATACACACAGACACACACACGGACACAAGCAGTACTACTGCTGCCATCACCACCACGAAGATGGCTCGATGCCCAGTGCATACAGGAACACAGCATGCCAGAGCTATAAAGTTCACTAGCAGTCCATGGGTTAGTCGCTGTTTTGCAAATGAATAACTAGTACCTGGGTTGGGATCAGTTGGCCTAAGTTAGTACAGTAATACAGATAACATTTATTGGGTACAACCCCAATGCATTGTACTTGGTGTTTTATAAGCATTATGTTATTTGATCCTCCTAAGGAATCCCCTATGGGGTTAGGTAATAACGTTTTCATCATGCTTATTTTGCAGAGTGGTGGGGGCCGGGGGACCAAACCTTAGAGGTTAAGTAGTTTACCCAGTAAGTTGAAGAGCTAGAAATTGGACCCCAGGAGCCTAATATTAGAGCCTGGCTCTTAACCGGAAACCAGAATGAAAGTGAACTGCAGAGAGAGCCTGCAGTATTTTCAGAGTACTCCCCAGTGCCCCAGGAAGGGCTTCAGAAATTCAGAAAAAGCTCATTTCTTGATTCCCATGCCATTTGCCCAGGGGAGCTGAATTGAACAGAAATGAATTCTACCAGCCTAGATCCCTCACCCTGCCAGCCCAGTCTTCTCCCAGACTAGTTAAAATGAGTTCCCAGAGATCTGGCTGCTTTCTAGTGGGGAGGGAGCGCCAGTGGCTTTGCAGGAGGGAAAACCTGGAAGAACTCCGCCAACGTAGTTTATTCCAAGGCATACCCAAGAAACGGACGCTCTTGACTCTGTCTTGGCTGAGACAAAATGTGCACCTCTGCTGTTGGTCTGAGCTGAACAGTCTTGTGGTCTTAATGGCTATCACATTGGATGGTTTCAGGCAAGGGCAATTCTTTGCTTTCTTGGTCCATGAATTCACAGCTGGGTTGAGCAGTGATGAGAAAATGAAGCCCCTTGTCCCGGCCAGCCCTGGATCTTCTCTTGTGTTCATTTTCCTTTGGCATTTGGTAAGCAGGAACCTTGATGTCCCAGATGCTAGAGACAAGGGATGGCCCCAGGTAATCCATGCAGCTACCTCAGCTGGCTGTGGTGAATCATTGTGTCTGTGCAAGAAGGACTTATGAGCACTCAGTGGGAATACTGTACTTCAAATAGCCTATTCCCAGTCAAGCTCATTATCCTGCCACCTCGAACTCCACTCCAAATCGCTGCCTCCTCCTCCTGCATCCCCTCTAACATGGCCATCATCCTCCCAGTGCTACATTTATAGACTTGAGCGCCTACAGAGACTCTTTTGTCTTCCTTATTCGTGAGAGCTCATTAGTCACGAAGTTCTGTGGATTTTTGTAATATGCTTCACGGTTCTTGCAAATATTGCTGTCCTCGTTAGGCCCAGGGCCTCAAGTCATCTTACCTTATTATTGCATCATTTCCTAACTGGCCTTGCTGCTTCCAACCTTATGTCTCTCCAAGCCGGTCTCTCCATAGCCATTGTGATGCCTCTAGGTCTAAACAGTTCACTTCCCTGCATAGGAAATCCTTCGGTGGCACCTTAGGTTCCTCTGGCAAATGTCCAGGCTCTTTTATCCAACCTGAAAGGCCCTCCATGACCTCCAGCCTCACCATTCACCTTCCTGCCCAGCCCACATACACTGGCCAGCCAAGCTACTGCATCATCTTCCTGGTTGGACTTGGCTGTTTGCACATCCGTATCTGTAAACACACCTTCCCCTCCTCCTAGAATGTCCTTCCCTCCAGGTTCATCTGGGAAACTCTTACTCGTCCTTCAAAACCCTGCTCAGGCTTCACTCTGCAGCTAGAGATGCTCATGCATGCCTCTCTGCCACCATCACGCCCACAAAATAACCTTTATTAAGGCCTCAACTGCTCCATATTGCAATTATTTGTGTATAGGGCATCTCCCAGGTAAAAAGAGAATTGTTTGAGGGCCGGACAGTGGTTTGTAGAAATTATTTCCCCAGGACCTAGCACAGCTCCTGACACATCATATGCATTAAATATACTTTGTCGATGTATATGGTTTTTCCTGAATTGATCCAGCTGATTCCTTTCACAAGCACAACCACCTCAGGCAAGAAAAACAGTCCTCTTACTTAGGAAAAAAATTACTTGACATGTCTTAAAACTGTAAAACCCTTGAATGAGCACTTTATTCTTCTTGTGTGGTTACTTTTTCTTTTTTATTGTGTGGCTGTGGCCTGGATAAAGTTGTCTGAGTTTTATTCATTTCTTAACTCTCATTGTTATCTTGCAAGGGAGGGGGGATGGGATGAAACAACAAAAAATATATTCTAGCTTTTTTCTTTCCCAGAGACATATATAGAGCGGCCTCTGAAGAAGTATTAATATTGGAAAAGATGCTATTATCTGCATTATATTAATTAATCCATACATCTACCTGTCACTCTTTCTCTGGCTTTTCTCAGTGGTGTGTTCTTCCACCGCTGGTAAATTGGCACAATAAATCTGGGGGGGGACCACCTCTATTTCCAGCAGTTCACTTAACATTTTATCACATGGCTGTGGACTCAGGATAGAAGTCAGTTAAAAAGATTAATATCATTTAATACCACCCAGAAGGAAGATGCCAGAAGTCTGTTTAAGGTCTTGTTATTCATGTCTTCATTTCCTTTGTGCGTGTATTGTGATAAGCATAGCCATCCTTTTTAGGTTGCTGCTAATAACTACTTAAAATGATTAAGGTAACCAGTTATTTCCTGTAAGAAAATTGCTCTGCTGTCATTAACATGAAATTAACACAGCTCCTGTTTCATCTTTAGCACACAGCCTGTTGCCCCTGGTTGCCCTAAATAAACAGAACCATCGCCAGAGGCTGTGCGCTCCTTTGTAAGAGATAAGTTCTGAAGAGGTAAGGAGGTAAGAAAGCATAGTTTTGCAGAGGACATTGCCCATGGAGGTGGCTGGTGGAGAGAAAACCATAGTTCCCCCAAACTGCCATGAGGTTTGGAGGAGTAATTAGCATAATTATCATTATTCTGTGGCCTGAGCAATGTGAATGCCATTTATGCCCTTTAAAATTACCAATTAGCAGCTGGGCATAGTGGCTCATGCCTGTAATCCTAGCACTTTGGGAGGCTGAGGCGGGTGGATCACCTAAGGTCAGGAGTTCAAGAACACCCTGGCCAAACCCCATCTCTACTAAAAATACAAAAATTAGCCAGGTGTGGTAGCACACACCTGCAGTCCCAGCTACTGCGGAGGCTGAGGTTGCAGTGAGTTGAGATCATGCCACTGCACTCCAGCCTTGGTGACAGAGCGAGACTCTGCCTCAAAAAAACAAAAATTAGCCAGGTGTGGTGGCAGATATCTGTAATTCCAGTTATTCAGGAGACTGAGGCAGGAGAATTGCTTGAACCCTGGGGACGGAGGTTGCAGTGAGCTGAGATTGCACCACTGTACTCCAGACTGGGTGAATAGCAAAACTGCATCTCACAAAAAAAAAAAAAAAAAAAAAAAAAACCTTCCAATTCTCTGAATCAGTGGTTCTATTAGGTTCTATTAGCAATTACCTTTATACTAACCTAATAAAATTTTCTCTTACTTGGACACATGCAAGAGAGTGAGAGACACTCCCATGGAAATACTCTGCTTTTGAGAAGCATCTACACATATCCTGTAGGGGCATGAAGTGCTGTGATGCTTGCAATGTCCTGAGTATTAATGGTAAGTCAGCAATGGCTGGTTATTGGGAGTCTTTGCACAAATAAGATTGGCTAGTGCTACTTAAAGTGGAGTCTGTGATCATGTGTGTACAAGTTTTAGTTTGAGTAGCTCTTTTCAGTTCTTTTGGGTATATACCTAGGACTGGGATTGCTGGGTTATATGATAAGTTTATGTTCAACTTTTTGAGGAACCACTAATTGTTTTCCTATATTTTAAAATGGAGCACTTATGAGTGCCAGGCCCTGAGTTGAAGAATTCACAAGATAGTGTACTTGGAGAGTGAACATCTAGAGCCAGGAGGAGACCAGAGGGCCTGAGTAGTTCATCTTTGGGAATCTGTCACAGTTGTCCCTCTTGCTCACTTTTCCTTCTCTACCCCACTCTGATTATCTGCTATGAGTGGCATCACCTGAGAGCATGTTAGACCTGCAGAATCTGGTGCCCTGCCCAGACCCACTGCACCAGGATTTCTGGGGGTGAGGTCTAGGAATCTGTTTTTAAGAAGCCCTCTAGGTGGTTCTGATGATTACTCAAGATTGAGAAGCTCCGAGATAGATGTCGGTGCAATGTTGTTATCCCTGTTGCTCTCACATCAGAAACACTATTGGCTGCAAAGTGAGCGACAGATACTGCTTTGGAGATAGCTTTGAATCTGCTCGAATTTAAAGACAGTGAATCATATGCAACACTCCCTATTTTTAGCAAGTTATGTGCATCCACCTCACTTACAACTAACTGTAAAACCCTATCATTCCAGGCAGAGTCACCTCAGTTCCATGTCATGCCAGGGGGCTCTTAATTTGTCACAGCGGAAATAATCCAGCGTCGTCTTAGTAATCCTGAGACTGTGCTCTTCTTTACCACCCAGGCCAGCCTGTATATGTGATGATGGGTCTACCACAGAGTCCACAGCCACAGAGTAGCACTCTGTGGCTTCCTGATGGCCAAGAGCAGCCTCGATTTGATATTTGGGGTTTGTTTTAAGCCTTCCCTGTTTCTGCTGTCAAGAAGTGGCAATGTAGTAGGGTGTTGAAAGAACATACATTTTGGTGTCAAATGAATTCTGATTCTGCTACTTGAGCCTGCAAAATGGGTTAATCATATCTATTATGTGGAATAATATTTGCTCAATAAATGGTTGTGATGAGATTTGGGTGGCAACAGAGACCCAAACCCGATGTTCAACTGTGATACCCAATGTTGGAGGTCACTGGATCATTTGGGCGGAGTTCTCATGATGGTTTAGCACCATCCACTGGGGGCTGTTCTTTTGATACTGACTTATCATGAGATCTTCTTGTTTAAAAGTGTGTAGTACCTCCTGCTATATGAAAATACCTGCTCCTGCTTTGTCTTCTGCTATGATTGGAAGTTCCCTGAGGCCCCTCTAGAAGCAAATGCCAGAATGCTTCCTGTAAAGCCTGCAGAACCATGAGCCAATGAAACCTCTTTTCTTATAATGTACCCAGTCCCAAGCATTTCTTTATAGCAATGTGAGAATGAACTAACGTAAGTGGTTATTAATTACTGTAATTAATTATTGCTGATAATTAAAAAATATGTGCATAAAAAGAGGGAGACAGGGTGGAGCAAGAGAGTACTGTCACAGATTCCTAATGACGACTTCACTACTTTGGCCCTTTGTCTCCTCTTGGCTCTAGATGTTCGTCATCCAAGTGCACTATTCTGTGAAGTCTTCAACTCAGTGCATGGTACAAGTTAAGTGCTTAGTTAAAAAACGGAGAAAACAATTTGGTAGGTGCTTCAAAAAGTTAAATATATAATTACCATATCACCCACTAATGCCAATCCTAGGTATATACCCTTGATACCACCAAGTGAAAGTAGGTACCCAAACGGAACACTGTACACCCATGTTCATAGCAGCATTGTTCACAATAGCCAAAAGGTAGAAACAACCCAAATGTCCATCAGTGAATGAATGGACAAATCGTGGTATACCCATGCAATGGAGTATTATCTTGCCATGAAAAGGAAGAAATTACGATACATGCTACAATGCGGATGAACCTTGGAACCATGCTATGTGAAAGAAACCAGACAAAAAAGTGCTCACATACTTTATAATAATATTGCAAACTCTAGAACAGGTAAATCTATAAAGACAGGTTGCCAGAAGCTAGGGAAGGGAGAAATGGGAGTGACTTTAATAGATAATGGAGTTTCCTTTTGGAGTGATGGAACTAGATAAAGGTGGTTGTACAACATAATGACTGCTAAGTGCCATTAAATTGTTTACTTTAAAATGGCTACTAAACTAACTCCAGATGGATTAACGACTTAAACATAAGACCTAACACCGTAAAAACCCTAGAAGAAAATCTAGGCAAAACCATTCAGGACATAGGCATAGGAAAGGACTTCATGACTAGGACACCAAAAGCAATGGCAACAAAAGCCAAAATAGACAAATGGGACCTAATTAAACTCCAGAGCTTCTGCACAGCAAAAGAAACAATCATTAGCGTGAGCCAGCAACCAACAGAATGGGAAAACATTTTTTGTAATCTACCCATCTGACAAAGGGCTAATGTCCAGAATCTACAAAGAACTAAAACATTTACAAGAAAAAAAAACAAGCCCATTCAAAGGATATGAACAGACATACATGAGGCCAACAAACATAAAAAAATGTTCATCATCACTGGTCATTAGAGAAACGCAAATCAAAACTACAATGAGATACCATCTCACACCAGTTAGAATGGCAATCATTAAAAAATCTGGAGACAACAGATGCTGGAGAGGATGTGTAGAAATAGGAACACTTTTACACTGTTTGTGGGAGTGTAAATTAATTCAACCATTGTGGAAGACAGTGTGGCAATTCCTCAAGGACCTAGAAATAGAAATTCCATTTGACCCAGCAATCCCATTACTGGGTATATATCCAAAGGATTATAAATCATTCTATCATAAGGACACATGCACACGAATGTTCATTGCAGTACTGTTTACAATAGCAAGGACTTGGAACCAACCCAAATGCTCACTGATGATAGACTGGAGAGGGAAAATATGGCACATATACACCATGGAATACTATGCAGTCATAAAAAACGATGAGTTCATGTCCTTTATAGGGACATGGATGAACCTGGAAACCATCATTCTCAGCAAACTGACACAAGAACAGAAAATCAAACACTGCATGTTCTCACTCATAGGCAGGTGTTGAACAATGAGAACACATGGACATAGGGAGGGGAGCATCACACACTGGGGGCTGCGGTGGGGAATTGCAGGGGTGGGGGTGGTGAAATGCCAGATATAGGTGAAGGGAGGAAGGCAGCAAACCACATTGCCATGTATGTACCTATGCAACAATCTTCCATGTTCTTCACATGTACCCCAGAACCTAAAGTGCAATAAAATACATGTATAAAAAATAAAATGAAAAAACTAATTAAAAAATATATATATGTTTACAGAACAATAAAAGATGAAAGGCTGAGCCTGAATAACTGATTTAGTTATTCCTGAAAAGCAAAGTATTTAAAAAAAAATTTATTTCTGTTGCTTCTGGCTGTAACTTTAAATCCCTCAGTCCACGTGGGGAACTCAGATGAAGAATAAGCAGCCCTCCAGTAAGTGCATGTGGTCATTAACTTGGCCTTGCTGGTCCAGGGATTTCAGGCAAAAATCGGGAACTATGAAAGTTATTGATAACTCAGTTGCTTCTAAGACAGGTGAACCTGTAAGGCAGGGCCATAGCAACGGTTTAATGCAGTCAAGAGAAAAATGTGAAGGAGAAGGATGCAGGTGAGTTCTCCTGAGAGACAGATCCAGGAGCATAAAATTGGCAGTTCTTCTCCATTAAACAATTTGGGATGATCTGAAGTCTCCTCCAAGTTCCTGTCTCTCTTTATCTTAATTAGCAAAGAAAGCATTAGGTACAGTAAGCCCTCTCCTTCCCTAATGGATTAGCCAGCAAATAGGAAACTAAGCTTTTGGGAGAGACTAATAATAGAATGAAAGGAAAGAAGGACAAGGACTGCCTGTAGATTTAAGCTTTCTCCATTCATTCATTCATTCCTTCGTGCTCCAAAGCAATTGCATTTCTTACTTGTATAGTAGTCATTCTTTACCCTCAAAGAGTTTACCATTTATTGATGGGGGTGGGGGACATGGACACAAGTGTACAGTAAACCACAACATTGCATGTCAGACTGCACTGTACACATGAATCCTCTGGCAATCTTGTTAAAATGCAGATTTGGATTCATTATGTCTGGGGCAGGGTCTGAGACTTTGTAAGAGTACTGAGGTGAAGCCTGTGGTCCTGGTCTGAGGGGTTAGAATGTGATATCCACAGTAAAAAGGTGATGCTGTACAACAGATTCAGCAAACAGCCTGCAGGCCACGTCCTATTTTTGTATGGCCTATGAACTAAGGATGGTAATACATTTTAAATGGCTGGGAAAAAAACCAAAACAAATGAAGAAGGCTGTTTCATGACAACTGAAAATTACATAAAATTCAAATGTCAGCATTGTTTCATTGCAACAGTCACCCCTATTTGTTTGCATATTGTCTATGACTGCTTTCCTACTACAAAGGCAGAGGTGAGTAGTTGCAACTGAGACCATATGGCCCACAAAGCCTAACATTTACTATCTGGCCCTTTACAGGAAAAAAAAAAAGCCTATGCCTGGTATAAAGTAATACGGGATTTCAGGAGAGAGGAAAAGATCATTTAGATTCATCAGGGGAGACTTCATGAAGAAAGAGCATCTGAGTAGGTTGGCCAGTGGGTAAGATCTGAGTGGCAGCCTTTGGGGAGGAAGGAAATCTAGTGAATGCACAGGCTTGGAAGTAAGCAAAGCAGGTGACATGACTGCCGATCTCAGTGTCTAAACCCTGAACAAGCCAGGTTGCTGTCCAGACTGCTAGCTCCCCTCTGAATGGGGAAAAGAAATGATCTGACACAAAGAAACTCTGTTTCCCAGCTCTGGAAGATAAAACCAACTGGGCAAGTG